ATATATATATGACAATACCAGTTATTAGGTTCCTGGCACAGTGCAAGCCCAGCAAATTGCTTCACCTGTGGGAATGTTGATGAATACTTGCTTCAGTGCAAATATTCCTCACCAGGAATCAAAACCACCAAAGCCAGCCACGTCCTTTTGCCTCTCTTTTCAGACTCCTGTCTCCAAAATGTGTTAGCTGTGTTTTACCATTTATTATGTTCTTATTTACGGTGTGTGTTGTGAAGATTTGATGACTTCAAGGATGAGACGTGATGATGTGCTATAGTTAAAAAAACAAATACCAGGATCAAGCAGGATTCCTTTTGCTTCCTCAGTAGCATCTTTTCTTCACCATAGTTGGTAGGAACCTTTTTCCAGAGTTACACACTGAGAATCAAATGCATCAAATAAAAGGTGGTCCTTCGGAAAAATGTTTTTCTGTCTTTCCTGGCTCTGGTTTTCTCCCCTGGCAGTTGTGTTGTGGAGCTGCAATGAAGACAAGGCATCTGTGTCATTTATGTCATAAGGGAGAGAAGCCAGATCAAAGCTGGCTTTCATTCTGCAGCTCATCTTACCCACTCTGGTAAAAACCAGGTCTTGCCTCCATTGGAATTGTATCATGGCTTAACTAAAACACAGTGACTCTCCCCCATTTTTACTGGCAGTAAAGCCAAAGGGAAAGTTGAGAGATGATTATTCTGTGCTCCTGCCTTGCTTGTCCTTCTCTGGGCATTACATATCCCAGTTTTACAGGACTCAGAGCACTAAAGCCCTGCTGGTTTATATCTTTTAAATCTTGCATCCTTTTGCCACAATTTGGGTCTTTCAGCTGGGAAAAATGTTCAGTTTCTGCCTGTCCATTTCATCCACGCTCATCCTTCCTCCTTGCCTCCACAGCCCAGCCATGGAGCTTGCTTTCCACCCGCCCTTTCCCATTCTCCCCAGTTCTCAGCCCTTGCAGCAACTTTTGCTAGTTAAATGCTTTTTCCCTTTGGCTGTTGCATTTTCATTATTGGTTTTGCGTGGAAGTCAGCTGGGCTTATACATTGAATAACCTCTGTGGTCACTTAGTGATTGCAGACACT